TAACCTTGCCCATTCAAATTCAGCGTTCTCACGCTCCCGGTTGCCACCTACGGCCTCGTGAGAATTTTGGCGGATAAACTATTAACTCGGGAATCACGGAAAGATATTCATCCCTCCGAGATTTCGAATTCTGCTTTCATGCGCAGGTGCGTGAAATTTTTAAATGTTTTCCAATGTTTGAACTATTTTTGCATAGACTGAAGTACGAAGCAGTGAAAATCATTAACAGGATGCGTGAAATTTTTAACTGTTTTTCAATGTTTGAACCATTTTTGCATAGACTAAAGTACAAGCAGTGAAAATCATTAATAGGCAATCGTTCGATGGGCCGAATTGCACAAAACGCATTATCGCACCGGCTAGTCTGTTGAAATTTTTAACTGTTTTCCAATGTTTGAACTATTTTTGCATAGACTAAAGCACAAAGCAGTGAACTGGTGCATGAAATTTTTAACTATTTTTCAATGTTTGAACTATTTTTGCATAGACTAAAGTACAAAGCAGTGAAAAGTTTTTAACTGTTTTTCAATGTTTGAACTATTTTTGCATAGACTAAAGTACAAGGAAGTGAAATCTTTAACTGTTTTTCAATGTTTGAACTATTTTTGCATAGACTAAAGTACAAAGCAGTGAAAATCATTTTCTTAACTGTTTTTCAATGTTTGAACTATTTTTGCATAGACTAAAGTACAAGGAAGTAAAAATCATTACGTCTGGTTTTCAATGTTTGAACTATTTTTGCATAGACTAAAGTACAAAGCAGTGAAAATCATTAACAGGCAAATATCGTTATGGTAGAACTATTTTTGCATAGACTAAAATACAAGGAAGTGAAAATCATTAACAGGCAATCGTTCGATGGGTTGAACTGCACAAAGACGCATGATCGCACCGGCTAGTCTGGTGCGCGTTGCTATTTATTACAATTACTCGCATAAAACACATGATGGCGCACCGGCTAGTCTGGTGCGCGTTACCATTTATTTCATTCGCGAGTTATGAATTTTCCCGCCATAGTTTTCACGTGCCCGTACGTGAGCCCTATTTATTATGTACTTTCCTCTGTGTTCCAAGTGCTTATTATATACTTTCCCACACAGGTCTTTGAAAGTGAACCATTCCTTTTTATCTTTTCTATCTCCCTTTTTTATTTTTTCTGTCATCCTTTCTTATATTTCCCAACAGCATTTATATAATTTTCTTTTAACCTTAAAGAGTAATAGAGAAGAACAAATAAGACCCCTTCCCCCTCTCCCAACCTAGATCTGCCTGTGAGTGATGCACAAGGCTATCATTATTATCACAAGAGAAAATCAATCCGATAGGTGAGGCAGTAAAAACAATGTATCAATTTGAGTAAAATCAACGGGGAAAAAAAATGGCTGGCTGAATGTTCTCCAAAGATATGGCATGTATTTCTGTCAAAAAGACAAAAAGAGATATGCAGTTGAAGCCAGAAGAATCTAATATATTAATACCCTGGCATATTTTGTAATTCAATGCTTTCTGAGCCCCTCTCAAACGCTCCAGGCAATGCTGGTGGCCACAATCTATAGTGTGATGCTATAAACTGATATATTTAGAACATGGGGAACATCACTTTAATTTACTGAATGGTTCTCCAACAATGAAACTGTAAACTTTTCTAGATATTTTGAATAATGCTACACCGATTAGTGGTCAGCCTGCTGGCGATCTAAACGCTTATTTCAGCCTCTCAAGTTTGGGTTATTAAACCACGCTAATGCTTTGTTCAGCTGTAACCCATTGCATCGTTCTCTAGTTCCAAAGCTAGAAAACTTTTTCAGCTGCTTTGACTAGTGAAAAAAAAAAATTTCCAAGAGAAACAAACCTGTCAATTGGACAAATTCGGCAAGAAGGAATGAGAAATAGGAGAGAAGTATGAACAAAGCCGATTCGAGCAGAGGGAATTCTTTGATTTGTGTCATTTTAGCGATCAATGCCGTAACGCAACCAATTACTGAGCCCAAAAGAAGTGATCCTACAAAAAGTATATTTCTGATAAAAGCCGAATTTTCACTTAAAAATGAACTGCTATTGAACATTTTGGCAAGAATTTTTCATCTCTTAGGACTACCGCCAAAAATCAGAGCACTAGTCGGTGACGTGCAGAGAAGGCAGGATGTGAGTGATGAGGGAACACTCTCAACTGACTATTTATAGGTCAAAAGTCAAGGATCCTTCTCTACCCGCTTTCACAGACACGAGAAGGCAGTCGTGAAGCAGCCTGAGTGGTAGCAAATGCCAATAGCAACCACACGCTGGTAAGAAATGTCGATGGCTCCCTCTTTCAAGAGTTATTTACTTACAAATAATCTGATGGCGGGTTTGACTTTAGGGCGTATGCCAGTACCAATTTACCATCAAAACTAATCGTAGACCGATTGGTCTCCCCACACGGCAGCGCTTATTTCCTAGCACGCCATGCTTGCCGTGTCTTTATCAATACTAAAACCTGACGACAGAACAGTCAAACGTCCGTATGTATCGTGCCTAACCTAACACAAGCAGATGCAATTGTAAAGTGTGCATAATCTAAGCTTGCTTCTAGCTCTTAATTGCTGACAAGGCTATCAATGGCTCCCTGTTCGGGTAGTTGCTTAGAAGCAAGCTGATGGCGATTTTTGGAGACCTGGCATGCTTCAGTATCAATTTATCATCGTTTTGAAGTACCAATTTACCATCGAAACGAATGAATGAGTCGCAAACAGACTGGTTAAGACTCTCCTTCCCTCCCCCCTCCTCCCTCAATCTTTCGCATGCAAGCAGCACTACTTGCCACTACGTCATGTCCGCCGTCTGACCTGTGATACTCAGCTGTAGACAAAATATTCTGTCTTTGTATGATAAGCCAATAGATTTTTAAAAAAAATTCGAAAAAAAATGCGATTCAAAGAAAAAATCCTACCAAAGAAGACAGATAAGAAATCGATGACAGCAGCAAATAGCGCATCCAGATCAAACGATTTATCCGATGCAAAATTATCCACTGAACTGAAATTTTTCAAAAAAAAAATTTCATTCCACGTCCACTAAATGATGGAACTCAACGATCGTTCATAATGTAGTGATAAGCAGCATTTCTCACACGCTATGAGGGCCGAGAGTTCGATTTCCGCCAATGGAACAAGCAATTCCTCCTCGTCCATTCTTCCTAATTATAAATTATTACTGATAAACTGCTACAGGATTGTCAACAGACTGCTCCTATCCAATGCCAGGATAACGGAGCCATCGAGGATTTTGTTAGCGTTTGTGCTACTACTCGGGTTTGCAAAGATTTGCAGTTATTGGGTTGAGCTTCCCGGACGATGCACAAAAAATTGTTGGGAAAGCTTAATGCAAAATCCTTGCTACAGTATTATCAACAAATTGCTTCTATTCAACACCAGGATAAGGGAGCCATCGAGAATTTTGCTAGCACTTTTGTTACTAATCGGGTCTGTAAAGGTCTGCAGTTGTTGGGTTAAGATTCCAGGCCGATGTACCAAAATTGTCGGGAAAGCTTAATCCAACAACCGCAAAATCCTTTCCCGGGTTGCCAAGCTCGAATTCTGGATCCGATCAGGAGAATGAATGTTTCTCTGCAGCAGTCTCGTGTACAGAGCGCAAGTTCAGGTGGAAACTGGTGTCGAGGCTGGCGTTGAGGTTGGTGTCAAGGCTGATATCGACACAGGTGACAGGACTGGTGTCGAGGTTGCTGTATCGGAAGCTGCGCAGAAACTACGACAGGCAACTCTCCAGTACCTCTGCTTCCCATTCGATTTAAAATGAGAGAAAGTTCAATGATAAGACGTTTCGGTCCATTAAGCTGCGCGTATGCATTATCCGCTCTACATAATCCTTCGATTTTAGCTCAATGTGCTAATAAATATTCTAATAAAAAGTGGAAAATGAAGCTATCTGTGCATTTTTTAAGCTCATAAACATTGAATGTATGCCTAGAGATGCTCGAAAAAACTTCATTATCACTAATAATCAGCCCATAATAGTTTTATTTTGAAAAAAAAAAAAAAATGAGCAAGAATTGAAGCGTTACTAATTGCGTTTCCTGTTAATTTCTCATTTTAACTCCTTTCAAATGCATGAAAAGAAATCAACAGCGCTGAATGGCAAATTAGTGAGCAAAATATCTCATTTAACACAAAAATGGAAAAAAATTCACCCCCTCCCCTTCATCCCCTTTCCCCGCCCCTCTTACTTCCCTTCCTCCCCCCTATCCCATATCCCTTTCTCCTCGGCCGCTGATCTTAAGAGGAAGAAGGATTAAGTAAACTGATTACCTGGATAGAACAATAGCAACTGCATCATTTAGCACACTTTCACCAAAAACCATTGCAAACAGATCAGATTCGACGTGCATTTCTTGGAAAACAGCTAATACTGACACTAAAATTCATTAATTTTTGATTGAAGTGGTAAAAAAAAGCGTCAGAATCGTGTCTTGCAATAATTACCAAGACAACTTGTATGTCTATCTCATGTTAGTGATGTTACTTGGATGATCCGATGATCCCATATGCTGGGAAAAAATGCTGGGTGTAGTCAACCAGCAATTACAGGCTTTTCAATCCTGGGCCATATTCCTCTAGCTAAGTATCGGACGCCTGTCTGACATATCTGTACCATTTTTTCCCCTAAAAATCACCTGAGGAGCCTTTTCGTTTCCTCTCAGATACCACTCATTGTAACAAGCGAGGTCCATCGGCTGTCAGCAAAGCGAGCAATATGTCCTGCCATCAGATTTCTTACTCGCAAGTGATATCCCGTACGCCAATCAACTGACGGAGAGTCTGAGTGTTTATATGGTCACGAAGAGATAAACTCTTAAGCATCACTTGTGTCTCATTTACTACACATACCTTATCTTTGCTTCAACCGCCCAATGACTACTATTCAAGTGATAAAGCAAAAAAAACATTACAGGTATTTGTTTTTTGTAGGTCAAAAGATGTTTGCTAAAACATAATTTCCCAAAATTTTACGAAAATAGCAGTGAAAAATAATCGAGGCGAGAGGAGTTAAATTTACATATAAAAATGAAGAGATTTAGAGAAAAAAAGTCGAAATTTATTTTGTCAAGATTTGGGGACGAAATGGATGTATGTAACATTGATGCAATCATCAAATCAACAATTTAGCATTGATCAACTGATGCAACAATGTAAGGGATGATTTTGCACATGCTACCAAGTGTGAAGGCACTGATTGAACCTCCAACCTGAAATTTATGTGCGACAAACTGCCAGCTACACCACTACA